TGTACCAACTACCAGACCACTGACTAGCACATGTATATGTATACCTGACATGCATGTGACATGCTGATGATGACAGTTGTTATTTTTGCAACAAGCCTGAACAAGAGTATATAATGTATCAAATAGATAAGTGTTTTAGTTTTATTTCTACCAATATTATTTGTTATAGTTAGTTTTGAAGCATTAAAGTTAAGTATAGTTAGTTTATAGTTAGTTATGAAGGGGTAAAAATTTTTTTAGTTAGTTTATAGTTAGTTATTTTTGAGTAAAAATTGTTTTAGTTAGTTATAGTTAGTTAACTAAAAGTCAACAAGGCCAAACTAAAAGTATTATTAGTTTTAGTTTTAGTTAACTAAAACAACACTAGTATCCAAGTGAAAAAAGTGCATTAATTGCCAGATATTTGTACCCATGAAGTTATACCCTGAAATATTAGCTTTTAAAATTTTTTTGGGGAAAACTTGAAACATTGAATGCTTGAAAATTACCAACTATACAGTAAATTAAAATTATTAATGTATAGTTTTGATGCTTAAAAAGGTTATTACCCAATCTTTTTCAGAAATAGTCTAATCATATATCTCTATACACATGTATACATTCACTGGGCTGCTACTTATAAATGTATTATATCATAATTGTACTGGCAGCTTACAGTGTCAGAACCAATATTAGGATCAGCTCCTTTTTCAAGTAGCACTTCAACAATTCCAATGTTTTTATTCTTGATGGCTTTAATAAGAGCAGTAGGACCACCGGAATAATACTATTATAACAAATAAAAATTACAGTACATGTAGCTACAAACCTTAACACAACAATTAGGATCAGCTCCTTTTTCCAGTAACAATTTAACAACATCAATATAATCTTTTTCAATGGCTATAATAAGAGCAGTAGCACCACCATATAAATACTATTATAAAAAGTAGAATATTGCAGTAATACTTATACATGTACCGTATAGCAGAAAATTTTGGAGGGACTAAAATTTGGCGAATTGCTAAATTTTGGCAAATTGCTAAATTTTGGTGATTGGCGGATTTTAATTTGGTGAATTGGTAGCCATGTGCCATTGAGCATGCGTATAATGGCTCAAAATGGCGGATTTAATTTTGGCAAAAATGCCAAATTCGCCAAATTTAATTCCCTCCAAAATTTCCTGCTATACGGTACATTATACATGTATATGTAGTTACAAACATTAGGATTAGCTCCAGCTTCAAGTAGACCAGCTACCACCTCAGGTTTAGTATCGAATTCTATAGACTTTATCAACTCTCTGTTCTGCATGTACATGTATGTAATTTAATAAAGCTAATATACAATTTATCATCATACCAAATTAGAACTTTTAAATTCTTTTTGAATTGATGTAGGCTCAGCCCTGTGTTCAAAAAGGGACACTTCTTGTTGAATGTTAGCTTCACTTGTCTATAAAATTAAGATTTAGATAATTACTCATTTACATAATATAAACATAGCCAATACATTGCAATCATGAAATCACCAAAATATAAGTGTCACCAAAAACTCCCACTACATTGTTATGTTTCCTTGTATTGCCTATTTCGCTATGCAGTGCTCTTATATACACAGTACCAAGAGTACATAATTTACAGAGAGTGTCTAACTGCACTATAGTAGCTGAAACATGACTGCGTAGAACTAAGTCACGTGAGACCACAAGCGTGGGTGTACTTACTAAAAACACGTGTAGAAGTTAACATAAAAAACAGTGGAGAAAACTTGAAGAAGCTTTAGACATCATACTAGTACACTTTATAATGCTGCTGAAGTCTGAGTACTGCTATAGCAGAGGCACCAAAACGGCCAGTAAACCTTGTTGAACAAACTTGGCGGCCATTTTTTCCTACTCATCCACACCCAGTATGCGGGAATGCCCAAAGATGTACAAGAAAAGGCTACGCGGTGATGTTTCAGCTATTATAGTATGGTTAGACACTCTCTGTAAATTATGTACTCTTGACAGTACTAGACTAGTAATTAGTTACATGTGTGTATGCATAATTTACTGTAACTGTAAATACCAAAGTAGTAGTGCTTGTGGTGTGAATGTTACCCTCAGATGATGTGGTATGTACGATTGAAGAAGCACCAACCCTCTAAACAAAAAATTATGATTGAAAATTAATTATCATACTGACATACTGGTTCTGCTTTAGCAGTGGATTCAATCTGTGGGTCTGAAAACATAAATATAAAAAATAATTGTATACAACCAATAAAAGCTAGTTACAGGTGTATATAAAAGTACACATGTACCTTCCTCCTTGCCCTCAAAATCTTCTGTAAAAAATTAGAAAATAAAAATAATTTTATATACTGCATTATCTTAAATGTACCTTCCTCTTCTTGTGGTAATTCAATTACAGTAATGTCGTTGTCCTTTAGCTCCTTCAATATCACTGGATCCTTGAGATCTCTCATGACATCATCAAGAACACATGGTAGTATAGCATAAGTGATGATAATGCATTTCTTTTGTAATTGTTTTAAAAACATATCTTGTGACCATGAGAATTCATCGAAGGTTGAGAGGCAATCATGAGCACTAGTGAATGAATCAGGTTTTTCAACACAAAAGGAAACATAAGGTAATCCAAGTGGAGCAGTAGGAGACAGGTCTGATCGCTTTTCAAATAAAGGTATCAAATTTTTAAAGGAGCCTGCACTTAGTAACTTCGCATATTCTTTTTCGTACTCAGCAAAACGTTCATTAAGCTTATCATCATCGACAAGTTTAGATAATTTTTTTAATAGCTTGTAATTGAGGAACCCAATGAAATCATGTTCACTTAGAAACTCAAAAAAACCTTTAAAATTGTTAACCTTCTTAAGAATATTAATGCAGGGTAGCAGCTGAGACACAACACGAGCTTTTCTCTTTAAGCATCCATGTATCAACATTTTTGCATCTTCTATATCAATGAAATTATTTTCAAGTGACTTTTTCACTGCAAGAACAAGATAATCAAACTTATCCTGCAATTCGTTAGCAATGTCTCGTAGTTTAGAAACTTGATCAACTTTGAGCTCAAGATCATGAACACCTAGAACAATACATGTATGTTATTCTCTTGCCATCTCTCCTTACCTGGATTAACAATGATTGGCTGTGTTGAATGCTCTATTAACAAAAGAAAACTGTGATGATACATGATATACCATACGGTTCGTGAGGTGTTAATTTTCGTCAATTTCAGGGTTCATTTATATCCACAAAATTTTAACTCCTACCACCAACACATGAAAAACTAACTAACCGGCCTGGTCAGGCCATGCATGCAGAGCTCAAACTATTATTTTCAAGTCAGTTGAGGAGCCAGAGTCTTTGTCTATTACTCCATATTCCATTATAAGCCATGTATTGGAAGCTATTGCTAGTGAAAAGAAGTTTGCTAAGTGCCAGCCATGAATTTTGTATCCCACAAATATTAGCTTCTAAGAAATTTTGGAGAAAAAGTGAAATATTGAACCCTCATAAATTACCAGCCGTATACGGTATGTTAGGAAAGTAGGTATAGTAAACATGTAAATTTGACATACATATATTAAAATCATACTACCTAGTTTTTGCCCAGTTACATTAGGCAAGCTCCGATAATACATAGTAGCTAGACTTTACTTACCATAGGTTCAACTTTAATGTAAAGTACATTGTATGGATCAAAAG